TGTGACGAACCATTTTCTGTGACGCGCGATTTTTCTGCGCGGTTGCAACGAGGGGTCCTAAGCTGGGAAGATTGGGCCAATTACGGGAAATCGGGATCGCTGGAAAAATTGCATCAGTACCCTTGCTTTTTCATCTTTTTCGTCACTTCTTGTCGAATGACTGGGTTCGGAGCTTGGTGTGTCTTGGGACGGCCGGTTGATTGGTTGGTCGGATGGATGTCTGGCGAGTCGCTACGAGCGCGCGCGATTAATAAATGTTGACGTCGTTTCTTTCGATTCGATTTCAATTTTTTTGGCGCGGACATCGCGCGGGAAATTGCTTTGTCCTTTTTTAATTTCCTTTTAAGATCTTTTTCGGATTTTGTCGAGCCCCCGATGGCTCTCGGAATTTCGGACTTTCCTTTTGGAACTTATGCTTTTTCATTTTTCGCATTAGATAGGAATTTAGGAATTCAGTAATTAGGACTTTTCTGCCGCGCAGCGCCTTTTGTCTATGCGCTTCTTCATGCGGCTGCAACGGTACTCTGATTAGTGAGCGCCCTTAATCGTGTGTGTAACTGTAATTTGGGGCGGGCGCCATTGTAACTGTATCTTTGTTCTTGCACTTCGTCTCTCCCGCCCTCCCTCTCTTTCTTTTGCTGAAATTTTCGTAGGCCGCGGCTTGCATGCTCGGATCAATGCGTGGAGAAGGGTTACGTCCCCCACGCCGCGGCCCGATCATGCAGAACGCAGGCGCTCCCTCTCTAATCTTTAGGTAATTCTGTGATCTTCGTGCATGCATGCACGCTATGAATTTCAACTGCGCGATTAGTCAGCTCTCTTAACCCGTTGTTGGAAGCTCGGGGTTGCGCGATCAGGAAGAGTCGGCACACGAGCTAAGTAAGAGGTGAGTAGAGTAGGAGTTGGGCGACCCGACGGGCTGGTGCCGAACGCACGGGATTGACGTGGGCCACGACGGACTGTGGGCACGGGCAAATCCGACGGGTGCGGGAGGGCTAAGCGGGGTGACAACTTCGTGGGTTGGTGCGTGACGACGGACTGTCCGCATCGGAGAGAAAGAGAGAGAGAGGAGAGAGTCGAGATCAATGGACGCGAATTTGCTGTTTTCTTGTCTCTTCCCCCTCTTCATCATTGTACATACATTTTGATTGCGGCTCCGGGCGGTTTGCCCGTTCTTATTTTCGTTTCGGCTTTCTGAAATCTGGGCTTGGGTTTTTGCTCACACT